GTTAGTCTTGCTGGTATCGTCATCAAGACAGTGTAGAAGATGGCGTGTCATGGGATATTGAAAAGTTCAGAAACACATAACCTTCCGTCACAGAAACTGAAAGGATCCCAAAGTGAACTGCCTTGTTTGACGAGCGAAGTCCCGAGGAGGGAGAACTTAGTTGTGGCTAGAGACTATAAAAACCAAGTGGTGTTTAATGACCTTGGCAAGGTGTTTGACGAGGCTTCACGCGTAGAATTGGTGAAGCATCCTCTGAAACCCGTTGGTGATAATCGGGGTTCAAGCACAGAATAAGGGATATTCAGACGACAAAAGCAAAGGGGAAGAGTTGGTGTAAGATTTTCTGAGTGGTAACTCGTCACAAGAACCTCGCCTGGTTAACTAGTTTACTAGTTACTAGCCGGTCCTAAGCCCAGGTAAAGAGGGAAGGTTGGGCATAGGGCTAGCAACCCTACCCCGTAAAACAAATCTAACCGCTAAAGAAACTTCAAAGCACAAACAAAATATAAAAAATGAAAACAAACTTATTCCCCGCTGGAATCGGAGAGGCGAAATGACGCCAGTTGGTGAAAGCCTTCGGGAAGCCAATTGGCCGATGTGTCTTCTCTCGATGAAAGCGAAAGTAAACGTGGGGACATGGAATGTCCGCACGATGTTTGAACCCAGTAAGGCAGCCCAGATTGCAAGGGAGATGAGAAGGTATAACATCGAAGTGCTTGGGATTTGCGAAAGCAGATGGAATGGGAGTGGACTCTCCAAACTGTCAACTGGAGAATCAATAATCTACTCCGGTCACCCAGACGCCAACCACGAGCACACTGAGGGAGTGGCTATCATGATGTCCTCAAGAGCATCGAAGGCTCTCATGCAGTGGGAACCAATCTCCTCCAGGATCATGACAGCAAGATTCAACTCAAAAGGAAGAAAGGTCACAATCATACAATGTTATGCACCTACAAATAATGCAGAGCAAGAGAAAAAGGAGGATTTCTACAGACAACTTCAATCAACACTGGACAAGACGTCAGTTGGCGATATCAAAATTCTGATGGGCGACATGAATGCCAAACTGGGAGGGGACAACACGGGAAGAGAACTAACCATGGGTCGAGAGGCACTAGGTGAAATGAATGAGAATGGAGAATTGTTTGCAGAATTCTGCGCATTCAACGATTTGGTGATTGGAGGCAGTGTGTTCAGGCACAAAGATATCCACAAAGCGACATGGATTTCACCAGATGGACACACTAAAAATCAAATCGACTTTATCTCAATCTCAAGAAAATGGAGACGCAGTCTACTTAACACAAGGTCAAGAAGAGGAGCAGATGTAGGTTCAGACCACTCATATCTAGTGCAAGGAACCTTCCAAATCAAGTTAAAAGCCTTCAAGGAAGCTGGTGATAGACCTCAATTCAAGTACAACACTCGGAAACTGAAGGATGAAACTACAAAGGAGATCTTCAAGGCAGCCATCAAGACAAAATGGGAGACATCGAGCAACATCCCTGAAGAAACCTGTGTGGAAGAACACTGGAAGTCTTTGAAAGCTATGTGGAAAGAAACCTGCACAACAGTATTAGGAAGGAAGAAGAAAGAAGACAAGGAATGGATCTCGACGGATACCTGGAAGCTGATAGAGGAGAGGAGGATGGTGAAGCAGAAGATAAACCAGTGCAAGGATGCTCAACGACAAGAGGAACTGAGCACAATGTATAAAACACTGGACAAAGAAGTGAAGAAGAGTGCACGCAAAGACAAAAGACACTTCTACGAAACACTGGCAAGTGAAGCAGAACAGGCTGCAGGTAAGAGAGACCTGACGACATTGTATCAAATAACCAGGTTGCTATCAGGGAAGAGACCAACACAGATGAAACCAATAAAAGATGAAGAAGGAAATTTAATTACAAAAGAAGAGAAACAGAGGAAACGATGGGCCGACCACTTCAAGAAGCTCTTGAATCGACCACCACCTGCACTTCGTCCAGAAATACCACCTGCAGCCGCTGAACTACAAGTGAACATTAATCCCCCAACGAAAATGGAAGTCCTGAACGCCATAAAGCTACTGAAATGCGGGAAAGCAGCAGGACCAGATGGAATACCGCCAGAAGCACTGAAAACAGATGCAGAGACAACAGCGGACATGCTCACACCACTATTGCAGAAGGTGTGGAAGGAAGAGAAGGTACCTGACGATTGGAAGAAGGGTTACCTTGTCAAACTGCCGAAGAAGGGAGACCTCAGTGCTTGCAAGAACTGGCGCGGAATCACTCTCCTGTCCACCCCAAGTAAAATATTAAGCCGCATCATCCTGGAGAGGCTAAGGATGCACTGGATTCAAAACTACGACCGGAACAGGCAGGCTTCAGGAAGTACAAATCATGTGCAGACCAAATTGCAACGCTTCGTATCATCATAGAACAGAGCATAGAATGGCAATCACCTCTCCACCTCAACTTCATCGACTTTGAGAAGGCCTTTGACAGCGTCGACCGAGAAGTAATTTGGAAACTGCTTCAATACTACGGAGTACCGCAAACCTTTATCCGCCTCATTCAACAACTATATGAAGATGCCACATGCCAAGTAATCCACAATGGGAAGCTCAGTGATGCCTTTGAAGTGAAGACAGGAGTGAAACAAGGTTGCCTACTATCCCCCATGATATTCCTGATTGTGGTGGACTGGATCATGCAGCAAACAGTAGGCAGCGAGAAGAGGGGGATACACTGGACGACGGAAAAGAACCTAGAAGACTTGGATTTCGCCGATGACTTATGCCTAATGTCACATAAACTTGAAGATCTGCAGGCAAAAACTAACAAGTTGATAGAAGAGGCAGCGAAGACGGGACTTCAGGTGAATATAGAGAAGACAGAAGTGATGAAGATACCGCACCACCACCATCAACAACAACAACAAACTCCAATCACTGTCAACGGGAGAAACTTAAAGGAAGTAACCTCCTTCACTTATCTAGGAAGCACTGTTTCAACTACAGGCGGGACGGACGAGGACGTCAAAGTCAGAATCGGAAAAGCAAGACAGGCATTCATTAGCCTGAAACCAGTGTGGAGATCTTCTGCACTCAGCATGCGGAACAAGATACGGATTTTCAACACCAACGTCAAGTCAGTGCTCTTGTATGGCTCAGAGACTTGGCGCGTCACGAAAGGTATTTCCAATAAACTACAGACATTCATCAACAACTGCTTACGCTCGCTGCTGAAGATCAGATGGCCAGAAAAAATAAGCAACAAGGAACTCTGGGAACGAACCAACCAAGAACCTATCACGCAACAAATATGCAGGAAGAAGTGGAGATGGATTGGCCATGCACTGAGAAGGCCGACGGAGGACATCACGCGTCAGGCCCTCGAGTGGAATCCCCATGGGAAGCGACGAGTTGGACGTCCAAGGGTGACATGGAGGAGGTCGTGCGAGCAGGAAATGAGAGCTTCTGGGCTGTCGTGGGACCAGGTTCAAAAGATCTCAGAGAACAGAGGTCACTGGAGGCGTGCTACTGAAGCCCTATGTTCCACTAGGAACCCAAGGGACTAATAATAATAAATAATAAGCCGTCACAAGTACCATTCCACAGGGAGCCATCCTTGGAACATTACTCTCCGCTTTTCAGGACGATGGAATATCGGGGATACTTCCGCCACCATGATTGTTATTTGATGATGATATCAAGAGGTTGAGGATGATTCATGATTGTGATGACGAAAAACGTGATATTCAGGCTCATATTGATGAATGGAATGAGAGATTCACACGAACCCGCAGATCAGTCCCAGTGAAACAGCGGAAATGCACCTTGGGAGTGAATTTTCTGGAGAATGTTCGGCAAGTAATCAATCCGGGCCTTGAGACTTACGGCGAAAATACTCAAGGGTTACCGTATGTGGCGATATAAAGGCGACTAAACAACAGCACTTATATTAATAGAGGGTCTTGGTTTTTGTGGCAGAGTTGGAATGGGTCTTATGCAAACCTGATGTGCGCAAAGATCGAACACCAATTCTTCTTACTTGTAATATACTCTCAATTGGGAGACCAAGAAATAACACGATAGAGTAGTCAGGCGGAATAAAATATTCGATCAACTGTGCGAAAATGCAGATACGTTCTGACTAACTGGCTAAAGGATTGTATACGAGCGACGTAATATGATAGGATGACGTGCCCAGTGTTGTGGATGCTTGGCCGTGCATCCCCATCCTGGTGAGCTCGTTAAAACTACGGTCAGGGTCAGTACTGAATCTCGTCAAACCCGAGGCCACTGATTTTAAAGCACTATTTACCCCCACCTATTCTTCCCTGGGCATTCAAATTCCCTGGCGGATACTTATTTTCATTTGTATCTTTTAATTTTAGTAGGCCTTATTTTGTGCATTGTGTGGCTGTTCCGCTCTTCAAACGTGGAGCTGACAAATTGCTTCGGGTCCAAACTTTGTTTCCAAAATAATCATGGCACTTTACGGGGTCCTTAAAATGTGAACAATGGAGAAAACTAAACCCCCCACACTTAGCTTACTGTAGGGAAAGAAATGATTTAGCTTTATCTTTTGTAATCGTGGATGACGACTTATTTAGTGATCTGTCAAACTTCCTAGCATCATATAAGACTCATTACTATAGAGGTTATTGAGAAGATCTAAAAGCCACGATCGACTCATACTGGGTCGGAATGCTGGTTGTTCTGCAGAATAGTCAGGGACTGAAAACCGTGATGACGATAGCACACCCATAGGTCTTTTTATACAAGGAAAGACTTCATGTTCAAAATTGAATCACTGAAAAAGCAACGCATACCATAGGCCTATTATCCTTTTCATTGAATTCCGAGTTTCGAAGTCTGGGCAACTTGAATACATTCGAAAAAAAAGAACCTAGCCTCAAAACTTAGAAGCGAGAGTTCAAAAACTACAGTTTTCTACTACTCATACCGTAGATGTAGGATGCTGTTGGATGTTGAAAACCGACCTTGGATGCAGAAAAATAAGTGGGCGGTTAATTTAAGGGTAGTTCGTTGCGTTTAATAGTTGATGCTTTTAAAACTCTATTATATATTTCCTGATTACGCTATCTTTTCTTTATGAATTATTACAATTTTTGGGATATATCCAATTACAAGACCAAAATGCATTCTCTGCGCATACTGACTCACATTTTCTCTTTCCCTTTTTTCTTCTAGATTCTCGTGGTCACCGCTAGACTTACACTCTCTCGCTCTCCCACTGTAGCAATATACCCACAGTCTATACGCAAACCTGCCAACAACTTGTCAATACAAAATCATTCTGATGTCTAAATCATCGCTAAGTAATCAGTTCAGATTTGCCGTCACAGCATTTTGCATTTATTTTGTCATTTGTGTTCTTCTCGGAGCACCACTGAATGAGTAGGTTTGTTTCATAATTTTATTGTAATTGTTTTTAGTCAGTGGTTGGAGACTGGTTTGATGTCACTTGTCCTTACGGCTTGTACTGCCTTACCTTTTCTGAAGTTTTTCAGTGGCAACCTCGAAAACCTTAAGTTGGTTCTTTCACCATCGTAAGTTGAGTATTGTTTGTTCGTATACCTTAAGCTCAGTCTCGTGTTTGCAGTGGGTTTCCTGTGGTCAACTTGTTTCTCCTAGCTTTTACTTATTATCTCTTATTATTTTCTGTGAAAGTATAGTTTTGCTATGCTTGAGCGACTCATTAACTACCATAGATGTGTCATTAGGGAAACACATGCTCTTTTTTAACTTTTAATAAAGAAGTGGAAGAAATCGCAGTAATTGTTTGTTAAGGATGATTAGAAGTTTATTATTTGTTTCACTTTTTTCTTATGCCTACATTGAATGGAAGTACGATGAAGTATGTTCGTGTAACTGCGTAACACTAAACTACATGAAGTGTGGTGTGGACGTAAGTGAGCATACAAGTGGTCTTCTGTCGCCTCTAAATTGTTTGTATGGATCCTTATGGGATTTAAGTTTATGGTTTTGAAATTTCAATGTTGATATATCTGGTTTGTGAAATTAAACATAAAGTTAAGATTTGTCGGTTTCAAAGTGAAAAAATTAACACCCTTACCATGTCACCTTAGAATTACTTAGTGTTCCTATCGGATTCTAGCACCCTTACAGAGGTAAAAATGATCGGACACAATCTTCGGACATGTATCTTGAAGAAGCCTGGTTTCATAGTGGTTCAGCAAAACTGCCCTTATCGGCGTACTATAAACTCGACTTTTATAAAACTACTGTTAAGATGGCACTAAAGGCAACCCACATTAGTATGTACCGTCCTGGGATTCGGCATACGCTTAACAATCTCATGTCTTCACCATCAGTCAACTACCTAGTTACACAAACCTATTGTCTACTACCACCGGTTGACCATAAGGCGTGAGTGAAGGTACAAACCCCCGTCATTCTCCTAAAACCATTTCATGCTCATGAAGTAGAACATTTCCTCACTATCATGCTTTCTAAGCTGGCAAAAGTAGAGTAATAGTGATGGCTGAGACTGAAACCGAAATCTGATATGAGATAAAGTTCGAACTAGCAATATTTGAGTTGTTGGCCAGGTGATATACTGGCTGGGTCACTAGACTGCTACTGATCAGGTCTCAACTTCACCTCAGTCACTAGGAGCTCCTTATTGCTGTCTTGTGAAACGGTGGTACTTGACTATCAGTTTATCTCAGTATCGACTTTATGGGGTTTTCTCTTTCCAATCCAAATGAAGCAAGAATAGAGATAGGGACTAACTAATTGATTGTTGATGAGATTACATAAGATAAGAATTATCAGGTTAGTCTCAACCAATGGGTTTACAATTGAAGTTGGAACAGAAACCCATGTTATGGTTTACAGAATTCTTTACACGACTCAGGTTTCAGTTTTGACTTCTACTGTTACTCTGTTACTTGAAACGTTTTTCAATCGTAGACCACCTCCGATAGCCTCATCGACTATGAAACAAGCTTGCTTTGTGTATTCGAGCCGGAGTTGTACTCTAAATGCCTTTGAACTTGAATACATTGTTTCATGTGTTCTAGTTAATGGTTGATTCGTTAAACCACTTTTAAGAAGGTTTATTTTCGATTTTCTGTCCGCTTACATCGACGTCTGAATCTCCATGCTAGTCCTTATTACAGTTTTACAGACTGAGTCTAGCTCACCATGTGGAATCTTTTTGAGGCTAGGGATCATTTGCATAGGTGCTCATATTTCATCTGGTTAGTCACTAGTCCAAACCTGAAGTTTCTATCGAGAGATTTGTGCAGTTATGTTGTATCAAGGCTCGCACATTCTGTCTGGTTTGATGTTTGATACGAGTCTGTGGTCCTACGCATTTCTGACTTTTCAGGAATCTATAATTCACAGCAGTCCATTCAGTCCTGTTGCGTACCTATCAGATATAACCTTTGAACACAGAAAAAGGCTACATATTTTTGATCCCAGGTGTCTTCGTAGCAGTGCTTATATATGATTGAACCACCTCATGAGCACTGTAGAGGGTAGGCGTAAAGTACTGGGGAAGGAGATTTAATCGTTTGGTTGGCTTAAGACCACTGAGTTGGTGTGGACATGACCTGTATAGCCTGGACTGTCGTCTACCCCAATATAGTGCGTTAGAAAAAACTTGGGGGTGATCTGAGCCGTGTTATGTTATCTGTTTTATGTTTCTTAAAGTGCTGTGAATCAGTGGTTAGAAACTCTGTGCATTATTTTCTAAAATCAGTCACTTCTCATTCACCTTTAAATCTCAAGCATCTCACCATTATTTATTTGGCATTTTGCTTCATGCTTAGCCTAATATTCTCTTATGGAGCCGTAGCTCCCTAGTTTAGGGAGTTGGTTTTAAACCGGTTGGTCGTGGATTCGGACGCCGCTTCCGCTTTCTGAGGTTTTGGCAGCCAGATGGTATATAATTAGCCCTAGCATAATGGGTTTGGCTCATTGTCTACTATATAAACATGCACGTGGCTGTTGAGTGCATTACGACTTCTTTTGTTGTTATTGATTTTCCATTTCTCTTCTGTTGTGAGTTGTCACAACTTAACCAATCGACTCTCGTATGAGGTTTCATGTTTTTTTGTCTCTGCATATCGTGTTACTTTGTATTATTAGCCACCGTGCACCGGGTTGTATCAGAAATCATCCTAAACTCTACATTTCAATCGAAATTCTACTAATAGTTTCCATGCGACAACTGTTTCTGAATTAGGGTTGGTGAAAATTAACAGACTACCTCTAAACTCTGTTAATACGATTCAAATATTACATACAGATATAAACACCTACACTTTGTGATATGAAAACTATTTGTTTTTTAATTTGCCACCGTTCATTGGTTCGTGAGTAAATTTTTATTATTTATAGCGATGCACAATTATAATGTGGATTTCCCTTATCATTTTCAGGTCGAAAGAAGAAAAGTTTGTAGCTTTCATGGGTTATGGCTGTATTATCGGTGCTTGGTTGTCAGCTGGTTTCTTGATTTTAGATTGGGACAGACCCTGGCAAGCATGGCCAATCCCATGTGTGGTGGGGGCATTTTTGGGTGTTATTGTAGGATTGTTGGCTTTCAAATTAACTCCCCTTCTCTCTTATCTATTACGGCATCGAGTGTCAAGTTCTTCAAAGTTTAGAACCTTCCCTCAGGTTCCTACAGATAATAAATATCGTTGTGATTAAATTATCACTTTATTTTAACCAACTTAAACATTACCGTTTCGTGTTGTTGTATGTTTTAAGCTACCAAACTATTCTTATTCACTTTTTTATTAAATACATTTGTTATTTATTTTCACGGTCTAGTTTTGTGATTATTCTTGGTGATGGTGTGGTTGAACATGATAATTTTTCCACATTTATATTGATGTTTAACTGCATTAGTGTAAGAACTGCACTTCATTCATGTAACTCTGTGCTGACCTGCTTGTTACTGCTGTGAATAAAAACTAACAATATTCCATCTTTGCATGTTATTATTATTATTATTATTATTATTAATCGTTTGAATTCCTAATGGAGCGTAGGGCTTCAGTAGCACGTTTCTGTTTCATTCTGTTCTCTACAGTCTTCTCAATTTTGCTCTACGACTGTCCAGAAGCTTTCATTTCTTCCTCGCACGATCTCCTCCATGCCACCCTCAGCTAGGATTCTCAACTCATCATTTCCCATTTTGGTCCCACTCGAGTGCCTGGCGCTTGATCTCCCCAAATGGTCTTCTCAATGTATGTCCAGTGCAATCCATCTCCCCTTTTTTGTGCATATTTGTTGGGCGATGGGTTCTTGGTTGGTCCGTTGCCAGTCAGCCAGAGTTCTTGTTGCTTATTCTTATTATTCGGGCCATCTGTTCTTCAGTATCGAGTGAACATATGCGGCAGCTGTTGATGAATGTCTGTAGTTTGTTGGAAATGCTTTTCGTAACGCACTGACTTGAAATTGTGCAAGATAAAAGTTAGTATCGATTTCAGGGAATACAATGACATCAACAACGATGTTTGCTACAAATCTTCTGCGTTATCGTGTAATTGGTCTACCTTGAATTTCAGTGATATTTTGGAGTAATCCTTTACAACTGATTCACAAACTATACAATTTTCGTTGACGTTTCTGATACCAGTATGATGGTTGTTGAGATTTACGAAATAAGGAGGGTGAAGATTAATTCATTTGTCAAGTTAAGCGTATGAAATATGCTCTTGAGTTTGGGTTGGTGGTTAAACAAGATCTGTGGAGATATTGCTCATCTGCCATTCTTTTTCCTGTATTCCTAGTCCTGTATGAGCTGCTATTAAAATCCATAGTCTTGCTTTGATATCTGTTGGCTTCTATGCTTCAGTTCAATGTAAGTTTATCGTAGCCAAGGCTGTTGAAATGTGTCTTGAAGATGTAGGTACTTGGGAGTATTCAGTGAACTTGGGACGTATTGTGGTCACTTAGAATTCTTCACAGTTAACTGTTAAGATTTTGGCTATCACGAAGAACTCAAGCGTTGTTCTATCCGATGGTAAATGTCACTGCTATGCTAGGCTTATATTCGTTTGGTGTTTTATCGTGTCTACCACACAGGACCTATGCCTTGTATATATTCCCGTCTGCTTATTAGGCAATGATTCACACACTGGTTTAGTGATTAAGAATACCCTTTATATTTTCATATTTTAAAGATTTCTAAACTCAGTTAAAATAAAAATACGGCTTTAAACTACCAGTTTTCTTGATGGTTTGGTTATATTTCGATTCATCCATCTTGTGGTCTAGAGACCACGTGAGTAATGGAGAAGTTAGGTGTAGAGTTTTAGGGAGCAGAGGTAAATCAGTAAACGAGGCTATAAACCTTCATCGATTGAGATGGTTCGGACACGTACTACGTATGCCCAGTCACCGGTTGCCTCGTCACACAATGTTGACCGAAGTAGGTCCAGGCTTGGAAAAGGCCCGAAGTGGCCAGACTAAAACATGACACCAATGTATGAAGTCTCTGACTGTTGGTTTGAGCCATGTGGCGCGATGTAGACTAGCTGGTTGGGGTCCGTGGGGCAAGAGGAACCAGTGAGTGGTTGGAGACTGTAGGTGATCACATGGCTGGGAAGCAATGTCAATGGCGCAGATGTATACACACATTATCCTCATCTTAACGACGCTATACCGAATCTCACCATCTCATTCTCCATTTCCCTTTTTCAGTACTTCATATTTCTTTTGACTGAGTTTTCTTTTCTTCATCTTCCACCTGACTACCTTTCTACTTGATGTACTGATATGAAGTGTAGCAATTCGGAGGGTTACGCAGTAATGCCTGGTCATATGTTGATCTTGATGATGATATCCCCGTTCGCTATGCATTGTGTTGATTGAGTATGGTTGACAGACAGAAAAGAAGTCAATGTAGAATCTGGCATATAGGTGGATTGGCTTAAGTTGCTACACTTCACAATAGTGTACAAAGAACAGGAGGATAGAAAAGGAGCGATATCAAAGCCAAAGTTGTATGGATGAGAGAATAAATAATCTGAAGATAAAGGTTAGTGGGAATATTCAAGCTTTAGACGGTGTCAAGGACTGAATACATCTACGCCATTGCCACCGATTTTTAGGCATGTCACCAAGATTCCTCAACCACTGATTCCTATCATCTCGGGGACACCAACCAAGCAGTCTATATCTCACCACACAACTTAGAGCAACAATAAGAGACTTCATCGACTGGTACCAGTTCTTGGTTTGGTCACTCTGAACCCTCTTCAAACCTAATCCAACTTCTCTTAGTATGGCATATCTAGGTAGATGGTGGCTGGACATGCGCAGTGCAGTACATCTCCAAGCCATCTCAGTTGTCAAAGGTTCAAAACCTCATCGATCGACTTGCTTATCTTCATCTGACCTCAACATTGCTCACACGATGATTCCATCAAACATGAGCAGTACAACGAAGGCATACAATCAAACACCTGTAATCTCTTCACTTTTTCTGCTTTTAACGGCCTTATCTCACTCACAGCTATATAACATGTCAGAACGGACTGCAGCACAGTATAGATAGTCGGATATCTCATCAGGCCTTCTGTATCCAATCTGAGATTTCATCAGCAACCGTCCTCAGGAACTCTTCAAGGAAGTGAAGTGGTTTACACATTCCTATCATTCATTGAATATCACCAGGACCAAAAGTGGATTAAATCCTTTAAGAAAATTCTACCAATAATGTTGATGACTTACAAATGACTATAAGATATATTCCATGTGAATTGTTTACAGGTTGGGACAGCACTTATAGGTAATGAGTTAACACACACTGAAGAGAAGTGTAATACTACTATTGTTGTGTTAATTTCGGGTAAAATTATTTTTTAATTGGTATATCCTAACTGTAAAGGTAATCATTAGACGTGATTGTGATACAGTACGAGTGTAATTCAACGCGAGACAATTTAGTCAAAGGAACTAACTGTTTAGTAACTACCTGGAAAATTCAATCCTTATTAATAATTTACAGTTTGAAATAAGTAGAAAAATCATAGAAAATAGGATTTGATGATTATATAAATTTTGACAGGACTCAGATGAATACTCAACACACTACATTATATATACCATAATGAATTAAATGGTGAGATAAACATATCATACTTGGGAAACGAATGACGCTTATCAACATTTTGAATAGTGTTCAGTAGATGCGTAGCGAGTAGGTTGGAATAGATATGAAAATCGATTGAAAAATGGCATGCACTTGAGTTCATCTCTTTATTAAATGAAACAAGTTAGTCAAGAAAATAAAACAATAACTAACAAAATAATTTATTGATAACTATAATAATTAACAGAAGTCGGAAATATAGACCATTGGATTGAGATCCATTGGTTCAATGGTGAAGTGTTGACCACGGAACCCGATGGTTCTTGGCTTGACCCCTGACGGGGCGGGGTCATGGATGCACAGTGCTGAGGAGTCCCGTACTAAGACGAAACAGCTGTCCAATGCTTCCAGGTTTCCTATGTTCCTTAAACTGATGTCAATCCATAATGAATTGCAACCTGAAATCAATTAATAAACTTCCAGATAAAAATGATAAAGTTAATTGGTTTATGAAATGGTAGTGTGGATTGAAAATGTTTATCACCATTTCTTTCTGTATATGTAGGGTCGGTTTGTAGACGGAAATTGAATAGGCGTCTTTCTTGGTCATCGAATAATTACTGTAAACAAATTGATAAACTTGGCATCATTCCTATAATCTTGGAGATGTGTTTAGTTAATGCTAACCATTCAGGAATTGAAAATCAAATTAATTATTGACTGGCGATTGATTCGTGTATATACTTCAGCCCTATATAGGATAACTTGTGATCTAAATAGCTTAAATGATTAAAGGTCTGACTTCATCTTTGAGTGATACAAGTTTCAATCACCGAGTTAACTCTAGTCTCCTCATGTTTGTATACACTGCTTCCTAATGAATGCTGATAGATACGAAACTTAGGTTAAAAAAAAGCTTCCTATCAATTGACTCTGACCATCTCACTTGGAGTTCTTAACTAGTTTATGCGTTTATAAAGTAAAAAGCATGAAATCAACACTGCCCAGCTAGTTATAGTAGTTAAAAGACAACAGAATAAGAAATTGTTTACAATCGTAGAAGCCTATAAAATCCCTAGACTAACATTTTGTATACTTAAGGAAATGATGATGATTATCTTGAAATTGCCTCGGTAACACTTTCAATCCATCCTGTTGTCATCAATTCATTATTTTTATTGTTTTCTTAGTTAGATATCATTGTTACTAGTTAATAACTTCTGTTCCTGCCTTATTCCTGTCATTCCTTATTGCTAGTATTTGTTTCTTATTAGTTTATCAATTGTTTTATTCATGATGATGCAACTAAGCCAAAGTTCAGGGAATTTACGAGTTGATTTTCACACCCATTTTGACCTATTCACCGTACATCTCTACTCAACAATCTTCATAATCTTATACTTTCTTAAGTTTTATTTGTTGTCCTAGTGTATTTCTTATTGTATTAGAGCGTGGTGTGTAGAAGTATTCAGCTGAGGAGTTCTACCGAAACTTATGAATTCATTAAATCTTACTTTCCATACATTTCAAGTTGTTATTCATCGAAGATTGACATCAGTTGGAGGAACAAAAGGAACCTGGGAGCACTAGACAGCTGTTCCGTCCTAGTATGGGACTCCTCAGCAGTGCGCACCCACGACCCCACCAGCAGGGATCGGACCAGCGATCTTCATGTTCCGCGGCCAGCGTGTTACCATTGAGCCACTGGGTCAGAATCCAATGCTCCATATTTCCAACTTCTGTTAGCTCACGATATATAGCGTAACCGCCACCCAATGTCATCGTTGAGTATTTGTCCTCACGGCCATCAAGCTTTGCCTCCACCGGTCACGACTTGTCATTGGAACTTCGGGAATACTTCTCGAAACTAGTCACCAATGAGCACCAGTTCAATTAAATTTTGAGGGAGTTGTGGAGATTTGGAAATATTTCAAGTTGTTATTCATCAGCACTTCATAGTGAAGTTAATGCTGATAATGTCGTCTAACAAGATGATGAAATCTCCACAACTAAAAAATCCAGCTCAGAGAACACAATACAACCAAGATCATCCACCTGAGCTATAAATATTCTCCATCATTTCAAAATCATATAAGCGTAACGAACTGATCTTATTTCTATTTGAATTATTCACTTCATGCTTTTCTTGGAAAAAGAGAAGTTATGAATGTAGCGACAACTTACAATGATCATATAGAACTGGTAATATCTTTGTAGTCTACTCGGTGAGTTTCAATGGAATATAGGATGCACGTTTCGTCCCATTTGGGACTTGTCAGTGTGACGTACCTACACCATAGTGATTGACGTTGTTCCCATTGAAACTCGAAACCAATATCCATGGCTTCAAAGCCCGAAGCCTTAACGACTAGGCCACTGGGGCACGAGGACCACATCTTGTGCTAAGAGTATGGGTTTTTGTTCATTGATACTTATAACTTCCCATCGTTATACTGTGTCGATTTGTTCCATCTCTGTTGGCAGATGACATCCTATGTGGATGCCTCGATGATACCTGGATATCTATTATATTGTAGTTTATCCTAGTCAAATCCTTTTTTGCTTTTCTATTGGTTAACAAGTGAGGTAATCCCTTCACCTGTTTGTTGACTAACTTCCAGTGTGTAATTTGAAGGACTGTAGGGATTTTATTGATTTCACGTTGGTATTCAGTGTAGACTGACATCAATTGGAGAAACGTTGGAAATCTGGGAGCACTGGATAACTGTTTCGTCCTATTGTGGGGCTCTTCAAGAGTGCGCTAACATGACCCTACCCCGTCAGAAGTCGAACCCAGACCCTTCAGATTCCGTGGCCTCCACGTTACCATTGAGCGACTGGGTCTTAATCCAGTGATCCATATTTGCTATCTCTGTCAGTTCACGATATAGCTCAGTCTACATCCAATGCTGTCGTTGAGTACTGATATGTAACACTAACCGACTTCCGTTCATTGATTGCACTTCAAAATTGTCTCGTTATTTTTATCTTCCGTTTCCTAAGCACTGTACTTATCTTTAGCTACCCTGTGGAAATTTTGCATACATACTACATTATTCATTAATTTATTTATGTATTTTTATTTTTAGCGAATATATTATAGATGCCAGGCAGTTCTTTGAATGAACTTATTCGAAATCTACTTATATTCATCTTAGAATATCACTGGTTATATAATTTTCAGTGGATTGGTGACTTATTTAAAATTAAACAAGATTCATCTGGATGCAGTGTATCATCTATTCTTGAAAAATTGCCGATATCTTGGAAAAATGTATTACAAACTGCTAGCCTTGAAGAATTACAGGTGTGTGTCAATGTAAATTTTGTTTACGTGAAAAATATGTTTAAGGTAACTCTACAAACTACTCATGAGTAGCACAATTTTTAACACAAATTTCTCATGCATTTTGAGGAAAGGTTGACAGAAGCGAACATACTTTCAACAAAATGTATATCAAAATTTAAGTAGAATACACCATGTATTGTTATAAATTATGGTTTATATTTAGACAAAATGTTCATATTCATATTAAATTGCTGGTTCTATGGCCTGAATACCGGCAGTTTACTCAACATAGAAGTTTGGATCTTGTAATACTGTTTAGAAAAAGTCTAGTTTCCAGAGTTAAATAAACCGATATTTCCTCCTATGTACACGTAGATTTGTATCCCATCTCTAAACTAGTATGTATGGATGAGAAAGCTGTCTCAGGAGTATCAGTTAGGTGTGAAAGTATTATTATATTATTTGTCCCTTGGGTTCCTAGTAGAACATACAGCTTCAGTAGCACGTCTCCATTCCACTCTGTTCTCTGCAAACTTTTCAACCTGCCTCCATGACAGCCCACAAGCGTTCATTTCCTCCTCGCACGATCTCCTCCATGTCACCCTCGGATTCCCATCAGGGTTCCACTTGAGGAACTGGCCTGACGCGTGATGTCCCCAATCGGCCTTCTCAGTGTATACCAAATCCATCTCCACTTACTTCCACCGCATATTTGTTGGATTGGGTTGGTTGGTTGGTTCGTTCGTTCCCAGAGTTCCTTGTTGCTTATTCTTTCTGGCCATCTGAACTTCAGTAAAGAGCCAACCTATGCAGTTGTTGATGAATTTCTGTAGTTTGTTGGGAATCCCTTTCGTAACTCTCCAAGTCTGTGAACCATACAGGAGCACTGACTTGACATCGGTGTTGAAAATCTGGATCTTGTTCACGCTTTATGCTGAGTGCAGAAGATCTTCACACTGGTTTAAGGTTAATAAACGTCTCTTGCTTTTCAGATCTTGACTTTGACGTCCTCGTCTGTGTCGCCTGTAGTTGAAACAGTGCTGCCAAGATAGATGAAAGAGGCTACTTCCTTTAAGTTTCTCCCGTTGATGGTGATTGGAGTTTGTTGTTGGTTGGGTATCATCATCACCTCTGTCTTCTCTATATTCACTTGAACTCCTGTCTTCGCTGCCTGTTCTGTCAACTTGTGATATTTGCGCCTGTAGATCTTCAAGTTTGTGTGACATTAGACACAAGTCATCGGCGAAATCCAAATCTTATAGGTTCTCTTCCGCGGTCCAGTGTATCCCCCCTCTTCTCATAGCTCCTCACTGTTTGTTGCATGATCGAGTCAAGTCGACCACAATCGGGAATATCATGGATGATAGTAAATAGCCTTGTTTCACTCCTGTCTTCACTTCAAAGGCATCACTGAGCTGAGCTTCCCACTGTGAATTACTTGGCATGTGGCGTCTTCAAATGGTTGTTGAATGAGGCGGATAAAGGTTGCGGCATTCCGTAGTATTGAAGCAACTGGCAAATTACTTGTCGGTCGACGCAGTCAAAGGCCGTCTCAAAATCGATGAAGTTGAGGTAGAGCTGAGTTGGCTGCCATTCTATACTCTGTTCTATGATGATGCGTAGCGTATCGTTGCAATTTGGTCCGCACGTGATTTGTACTTCCTGAATCCAACCAGTCAGCCTATTCCGGTCATAGTTTTGAATCCAGTGCATCCTGTAGCCTCTTCAAGATGATGTGGCTTAATATTTTGCTTTGGGTGGACAGGAGCATGATTCCTCGGCAGTTCTTGCAAAGACTTAGGTCCCCTTTCTTCTGGAGTTTGACAAGGTAGCCCTTCTTCCAATCACCAGGTACCTTTCCTTCCTTCCAGACCTTCTGCAATAGTGGTGTGGTGTGAGCATGTCCACTGTTGTCTCCGCCTCTGTTCTCAATGCTTCTGGTGGGATTCCATCTGGTCCTGCTGCTTTCCGGCATTTCAGTAGCTATATGACACTCAGGACTTCGACTTTTGTTGTGAAAGTACTACTCCTCTTTAAATTGATGTCAGAAAGATTCGGACTAAATTTTCAACAAAGTCACCGTTGTAAGGTTCGTAGATTTTAAACCTGAGTTGCAGCGTGACCCATATCAATTCACATATACTGTTGCTAAGTTAGATGTTAACGAACGACCGGTTTTTGAAACCACTTTCCTTTGTATACAGAGAGACGTCTAAATAGCGTGTATCTAATTCATTCTTTTTGGGGTTTCTTAGGTATATGCTGTGATTTGTTATCTAGGCCCAAAATTAGCATAGGATCACAACCAAAAACGACACTGTTGATTCCTTGGAAATCCTCCCAAATGATCTTGAGTTCATTATCATAGCAGTTGTATGTTTAGGTAGTGTTTAACATTGAAGAATAACCATAGAAATTAAAGAACAACGTGGATATGTAGAGGTTTGTTCTATTTGGCTACATAAACCTAATCTCTGTACTTACAAAGCGATCGAATTTCAGTCGCAATCTACCATTACAGGATGTTTTATTTTAGTGACTTTAAAGGCCACCCTAGCAACTGCTGAGATAACCAATTAGGCTGCTATAGTAATGATGGATAATGGCTAGCAGTAGGATTCAGGGTATACGCATTTCGTCTTATCTGACACTCATCAGCTGGATGTACCTCCTTCCCAGCGAGTGATGTTGTTCCCACCAGGATTCGGACTCGGGAGTGATCAATTCTGTCCTGTCACTGACGTTATAACACAAGCAATTATATTAGGCTGCTATATTTTATGGAAAATTACCTTCTAGTGGGAATACGGAAACCTGATTGGTTATTTCAGCAGTTGCTAGGGTGGCGTTTAAACTCACTCGGTTTTTTTTACGTATCGATCTTGGCATTTAATTGCTAATAGCAGTTCTCAGTTTGTCTCTCCATCTATCCAAATCGAAATCACATCACATGATAGTTCTGATAAGTGGAATAGTTTTTCGACTACCGTACCAACCGTCAACCATGAATAGTCTGGAACAACTCTGGTCTATAGATTGTACTAGTCGAATCAGAGTGACTTAAGCTATGAACTGATGTTTGAGACATTTGAAGCTGAATTCATCAGTGGTGTTCCTGGACAAATTCAGCTCTATGAATTGGCTGTCACTTTACTGAATCATTGATGTCTTCGATCGAAATCTATTTAAATCAGCCTTGTCTTCCATATTGTGTTCTTGTTTTTTGATACAATGTTGCATTTTTCAATCTATCTTTCTATCAAGATGTTTGTATCTGGTAGTTCGAATTTATGTCATTGGCCTGTTGATCTTTTGAATTTTGGTAACAAATGTCGTCAGTTTACACGATTACTATCCCAATACATTTTATTAAATCCAAATATTAACAGTAATAATCATCTTTATGGTTATCACTTCAATCCAACTAGTATGTGTACAGATTTGATAACATCAATTCAAGTTGATAAAATTGAAACAAATTACTTTTTTAAAGTTTCGGAAAAAAAATCCTATGAACTTAAACAAATGTCTGCATTAATTCAAACAATTGTATTGTCAAAATTGAACATTGAATCTGTCATTTCATCAAATATAGTATTTTCATTGAACGAAGATCAATCGTGCGGTAATTTTCAAACTGTTCGATTAATTAACAGAACACTGTTGGAGAACAATATTTTAAAAGGTTGGTGGAATGTTGTTGTTGTTGTTGAGCATTTAAGATCGTCTTGGTAGGTAGAATCAAGAATTTTTTAGCTTGAGTAGCTGTGACCTTAACCATATGTGCGCTTCAGAGCAGCATATAGCTAGGACGAAACTTCCAACTTTCACATGTTTCTCCAACTGATAAGAGTTGGTGATGGATGCTAATTAAAAACCAATTATTTTCTAAACACCGTCATTTCAGTTGCATTACAGTGCTCCTTACTGATTTCCTTCGAGATGGGTTTACCGAGAGACTCATGGAAAGTTTTGACCTATCAGGAGTGAAGTAAATGCCCACGGATGACATTGGATAATGATTATACCATATCACGAATTGACAGAAGTGCACCACTGAAAAGGTCATGGGTGCCGCACCAATGAAGAGTACGAAGCTAAAAAGAAATAGCTGTCTACTGGTTCAAGGTTTCCAATATTTCTCTAATTCAACTGAACGATCGATATCCACCTTGGGCACATTCATGCAGTAGGTAGGTAATGAGCCACATCTTTTGGAGAATTTTCGGTTTCAGTTTTGATTGTTTGAACACTGGATATGAAAAACTCATACTGCTTGCAGTGAAAGCCTGGAGGGCAAGGAGAAGTGGGCTATTGTTGAAATCAATCTTTTCCTATCCCCTTCTCTTCTCAAAGGGGAAGGTAACGTCAGCATGGAACTGGTCCACTTTACCGTTAAACCCTCATCGTGGCACAACTGTGTACACTATAACCGCTTTTCGTCTTGCCTTTATCCAGACTGATCTATCCAGTATTGTAAGACCTGAAGGGAGCAAGCGTTTAACCAATTCAGCTCAGGGGTTCGAACCCTAACCCACCTACCAAGGTTAGGTTAGCTAGGTGGTATCAATAATTCTCATTCAATAGATTTGGTTCATCACTTATCCCATGGGATTGCTGGGTTACATTTCGATTTTAGACTATGCGGCTTCAGAATGGTCAAAATAAGGCATAACACTATTTAGTGAAATTCATTGATATTGAATCAGCATTCATGATAGAGTTTAAACTTGCTAGTGCCAGAAGAATAAATGAAAGTGATTGTTTTCAATGTTCGTTTAAATTATATTGAGATATTGAATACTATACTACATTCACTTGCTGGAAGGTTTCTTGATGATGTCACTTGAGTTGTTCTTTTGAAATAAAACCTTTCTCTATACTTCTAAGCAAGTGACACTTTGAACGCTGCAGGTATATGATCACGTTCAGTGTATACATGATGCGTATTAAAACTATTGAACAAATACAAAGTCATCGACAGAAATCAACAAGCGCATCGTCCTACCATACTAAAGAATGTATCAGAAATCATGACAAGATTACTGAGACCACTTGGAATTGGTGTGTCTCATAAACCAACAAATTCCCTCCAAACACTATTATGCAGACCAAAGGATGCAACAAGCAAAGAAGACAAACTGAATATCATTTACAAAATCAACTGCAATAGCTAACTGTAGTCAACACTACATTAGACAAAGTGGTTGCTCTCTTCACCTTCGTCTAGATGAACACCGATTGGCTATTAAACGTCACGTACGAATATTTCAATGCATGTGGATAACAAGTATGGATATGAATTCAATTTCGACAATGTAGAAATTTTGGACAGAGGAAACACAAAGAATGTCAGGGAATTCCTAGGCACTTGGCATTCAGGTCAGTCAGTCAGCAATCAACAGATGTATAGACATGATATACCTAATCTATCAACCGATGAGAAGGATGATAAACGACAGGAAGGTCAGAGGTGAAGCAGAAGAACAGTCAACAGGAAAGTCTATACAATCAGTCGGTGACACAACAATCGAAAGAAATAACCAATCACAGATCACATGGTCAGAGCAAGCTAGTAAATCACTCACTCATGGAGAGATGTTGACAGCTCACTTCATACTGAAGTTATTGCTGATGATATCGCTGTCTAGCAAGGCGATGAAAGCTTCACGATTAAACAACCCACCTTAGAGAACACAATACAACCAGGACCATCCACCTATGCTACAAATATTCTCCACATCTGTATACTAGGAAATTAGTTGCACACTTAATTGCCGGTAAAGACTAATAATGCAACCTGATTGCGGAGAAAACTTCGATAAATGAAGGTGGATTGTAACCAACAGCTTGCCACAGTCCCACATACTTGTAAAACATAAAACGCCATAATGTTTATACATAAATGGATTCATTAGTCAATTCTACTTCGAACAGTATAACTACCATAAGTTATAAATAGTTATTTTTGGTTCGATGGTCTTCCTTCTTTTCTTTTTTTTCCTACCTGTTTTTACAGTTCTCTATGATAAAAGTTTTATATCTAATATATTTTTCTCTTGCTTTCAAAACTCAGTTTCTAATTCAAGCATTCCATTGATAATTGTTGATATTGGATCAGGATTAGGTAATTTATCAAATTATATTGCCTATCGTATACTTCAAAATTGTACAAATCATCTTTTCACTCAATTCAAAGTGATTTCAATTGAATGTGATGAACGTATGCATTTAAAAGCTTTAAAAAAATTAAACCATTATAATTCTATATATCAAACAAAATTGTTGAGTTCAATTGTGAAGAGAATGTTATTTCGCGTTGAATCATTGAATTTAAATTTATTACAGACAAGGTAAATAATTATGTCTATTCATTTCAGACTATTTGATATATATTTGAAGATACTTTGAATTAATAAAATTGTTTTATATGGTTCTAATTTGAAGGTTTATGAGAATTTATTTGTTGATTTCAGGTCGGGGTATTCTTCATCATCACCCAGTGATCTAGTGGTGACATAGAACCTAAACGACCTGGATTTGATTCCTATCGGGTTTTTGAGGTGCCGTATACTAGGTCGAAACAGCCGTTCAATACTCTCAGATTTCAAACTGATATCAATCTATGCTGAATACAAACCTGATATAGTTTTATTAATATAAGAGTAAAACTTGTGCAATGTGGTAGGAATTACATTTCGGATATATCAAAATAAGCAACTCTACAACTTTGAGACATCCTTTGTATAGTCCTAATTCCCTCGCTGACTCATTCCTGTTGCTACATGTATTAGGTATTGATCAGGCAAACAAAGATTCAGTTATCCAATCTCTTCCTCCATCTTATTAATTGCAAGGATTTTCATCCTGTCCCATCCTATTGTATGGTTGTATGTAATCACATGCATAGCTATGGCTAAGCTTTTTCTAAATCCCTAATCTTACTAGTATCTACCAGTATTGACCTAGGTGCGATTTTGTGCTCAGATAGCTTAGGTGATCCATGGTCGACTACTTTGACTGACCTATGTATTTGACCTCACAATCGTTGCAAAGGATTTGGTAAACTAAGTTATTCTACTTAATTACATCAGTAGGATCTTTTAACCTGCAAAGCTTATTTCGAAGTGAGTTGCTAGGTTTAAATCCCACTGTCATGCCAGTTGCAGCCTTATTGACAATCCTACGTAGTGTTTCTGAGGTGCCTTCTTTGTATGATAGGAATACTGTAGAAGTTTTGGATTCTTCATAGTATTGCGACTACTTTAACTAATATTGTTATTACTACTGCTATTACTATTATCACCACCGTCATTACTATTGTTAATACGTGTGTTACTGATATTTTTCTTACGATTCCTAAGGAACTCGTCAATTAATTTAGGAGGATAATTGTTGATGAGTATGGTGTCTGTAATGTATCTGGTTTCTTGTCTGAAATCTTCTGTTTTACTGGTAAGTTTTTTTGACACTACTTCTGAGACATCTTCATGAACATCAACATAGGAACAGGCATTACTGCGTAACCCTCCGAATTGCCACACCTCATATCAGTACATCAAGTAGAAAGGTAGTGAGGTGGAAGATGAAGAAAAGAAAACTCAGTCAAAAGAAATATGAAGTACCGAAAAAAGAATGAGATGGTGAGATTCGGTATAGCGTCGTTAAGATGAGGATAATGTGTGTATACATCTGCGCCATTGACATTGCTTCCCAGCCATGTGATCACCTACAGTCTCCAACCACTCACTGGTTCCTCTTGCCCCACGGACCCCAACCAGCTAGTCTACATCACGCCACATGGCTCAAACCAACAGTCAGAGACTTCATACATTGGTGTTATGTTTTAGTCTGGCCACTTCGGGCCTTTTTCAAGCCTGGACCTACTTCGGTCAACATTGTGTGACGAGGCGACCAGTGACTGGGCATACGTAGTGTGTCCGAACCATCTCAATCGATGAAGGTTTATAGCCTCGTTTACTGATTTACCTCTGAGACATCTTACCAAGCCGACTGTAACTGACTAACACAGGGTGAGACGATTTGAAGTCTAAGTAACGATTTCAATGTGAAGGTTTTCTGTAGTCACTAGTGTCTTAACTTCCATCTTGTTTCCGTTTTATTCTGTAATCCAACATCACAAATCCCCCTTCACTATTTCCTAATTCATAGGTGTATTGAATTAGTAAGTAACCAGATCCATTAAAGACACCTTATTCATCAACAATTTCAGTCTTCAGTCAATATAGGATTAAATTAAGATCATCTCTTTAAGTTTAATCAAGTACCAATTTATTATTGTAAATCATTTCAGACTTCATGAACTCTCCTCTGGTCATGACTATCTGCTACTTGGTTTACACTGCTGCGGAGATTTAAGTCAGTCAATGATTGAATTGTTTCATAAAGATGGAACAGCAAAATATCTGTTACTAGTTGGATGTTGTTATCATAAAATGACATTGGAAAAAGTGAGTTTCCAAGGTATATTCAACTCTGATATGTGCATGTGTGTGTATGTGTGATTTCGAATGTATTTTTACCTGTGTAGGTAATGAATTGTCAGTTATAAGATTTTTATACGAAATATACTATCGACTGATATGCATGATTGTCAATTGCTCATGCCTGCAATCGGTATTCACTAGTGTAAATTGTCTATAATTACCCATACTAGTCAGTAGTATATTTGATACAGTTTCCATGCTCTCAGTGTTGATACTATTTGTATTATCGACTTAATCATATTTCCACAGGAAACCACGGTGAATTTCATAGTTGAATCTCATCACATCTGATTTGTTTATCAAATGGTTAATTTGAGTCTTTGTTGTTGATGAAAACGTAACCTGGACTGGCGAGGGGTGAAGGGGGGGGGTTAAGATGGAAGTAGTTTACGTATGATCAAGTCAAGACCGTGATGTCAGTTAATGGAAACATTGAACATTAATGCAATTTATGCAACAGAGGTGTTTAGTTTTCAGTCAGAATCTTTAATATAATGCAATTTAGAGTTTAAACAAATTACATGGTTCACATTGACATTCTTTACATAGCTCAATTGTGGTGAATAAACTGTTTGGCTCTATGTGTGTCAGAGATCACATCATGTGATTTTGGCTGAGAGTCGGTTTCCAAGGCAAACTGAAGTTTATCGATCAAGTTCGCCGTGCACGTCCCCTAGGCTAAGTGATGCGGTACTGTAGTGGACTGTCGTTTGGTGTTGGACGGTGGGAGTCAATCAGGATGATACCATTAACTCTTAAGAGAACTTTCCTTATAGTTGAAATTTATTTTTTCATCTTTATAAACTACCTTGTATTGTGATGAATCAGATTGCCATATATATACGAACAATAAGCAGGAGACTTCGTGTTCTGTTGGCAATGGTTGGGAGGACAGAACTGCACGATTCATCATGTGGGTAGATTGAAGATAAGAGACTGGACAAGTACACTGGTAACTAAATCACATTCAAAGTTAGCGTTAGGACTGAATTAGCAGAATCTTGGGGTTACAACAATTAAAACCAGACAGATTTATAACAAATTGGTAATGGGGTTAACTCAAGAATATAACACTCGTCTCTGATGATACCACTAACAATCATTTCATTTCCATTTGGATTAGGATACCAAGTTCTGGTTGGGCAGATTACGATAAACACACAGCTGAGTAAAACCCTGGATAATTGAAGTGAATTCAAGATATGGTTAGGAGTTTTGTCTCATAGGTTATCTGGTTATCTAGAGGAGGCTGTTTAAAATCCTAATGTCATCCAAGTTTTCATTTCAGCTTTAATCACTGTTCTGTATCATTAAGCAATATCTTTCTCCACTTTTCTCATCTGTTTTTTTTTTGTCTTTAGTTCCCAACTAGTGTCTACCTGCGTAAAGCTATGATACAGTGTGATAAATCCTTTATAGAAAAGTGTATTTCAACAGCTACCTTACGCTTAGCTTGTCAACATTCACCGTTAATATGGCTTAGTTGGACTGAGTATGATTCAAATAAACATCGTGTACGTTTATTGGCTCGTATAATTTTAGACGCCATCCTATTCAAGTACAATCATATAACTGATGAATTTGAACAATATAAACGAATTGATCCAATGATACATTGTGATACAATCAAAAAACTATTGATTAATGATATCGATGACATAAGCAATCAATCATCGCCAAAATTCGATATAATCTATTCCAATTTAATTAGTTTTTGGAAAGAAAAACTTTCAAATATTCTACACTTTAGAGAGGTGTTATATGATGATGAATTTATTTTTGGTTACTATGAACATTTTAAGCTTATATGGAATTTGATACCAGGTCTGTTGGCTTTACAACAATTATTTCAACCGTTATTAGAAACGATCGTACTATTTGATCGTTTATGGTGTTTAAGAGAATATGGCGGTGATGATCGTATTTCTCATGATGATCATAGTGATCCTTATCGATATTCTGGTTATATCAGAATTTTTGATCCCTTCTTATCACCAAGATGTATGGCGTTGTTAGTGCATAAAAATTGAATATCAATCTATCTATTTTTGTACAAATTAGCCTAAAGTTTGATATAAATAAAATGATAATTTTCGATATTGTGTTTTTCTTCAAAATACTTGTTTAACTGTCTGACAAAAGTCTTTTGTCCACATTCATTGATGAATACTATAACCTTGTTTTCAAGTTGTTATTCATCGAAGGCTGACATCAGTTGGAGGAACAAAGGAAACCTGGGAGCACTGGACAGCTGTTTCGCCCTAGTATGGGACTCCTCAGCAGTGCGCACCCACGACCCCACCAGCAGGGACCGAACCCGCGACCTTCAGGTCCCGCGGCCAGCGTGTTACCATTGAGCCACTGGGTCAGAATTCAGTGCTCCATATTTCCAACTTCTGTTAGCTCACGATATAGCGCAAACCGCCACCCAATGTCATCGTTGAGTATTTGTCCTCATGGCCATCAGGCTTTGACTCCACCGGTCACGACTTGTCATTGGAACTTTGGGAATACTTCTCGAAGCTAGTCACCAATGAGCACCAGTTCAATTAAATTTTGAGGGAGTTGTGGAGATTTGGAATTATTTCAAGTTGTTATTCATCGTAGGCCATGAGGACAGATACTCAGCGATGACATTGGGTGGCGGTTGCGCTATATATCGTGAGCTAACAGAAGTTGGAAATATGGAGCACTGAATTCTGACCCAGTGGCTCAATGGTAACGCGCTGGCCGTGGAACCTGAAGGTCGCGGGTTCGGTCCCTGCTGGTGGGGTCGTGGGTGCGCACTGCTGAGGAGTCCCATACTAGGACGGAACAGCTGTCCAGTGCTCCCAGGTTTCCTTTGTTCCTCCAACTGATGTCAGTCTTCGATGAATAACAACTTGGAATAATTCCACAACTCCCTCAAAATTTGAACTTGTTTTCATTGGTTTTCTCAACAAGTCGACCAATTATTGCTTCAGTTAACCAATCAATCAAAAGACAGCTGGCAAATTAACCAATCCCGTTTCTCTAGTCAAGTGACTAATCAAATCAACGCTGTGTGGCAGAACACCAAGCAAATATAATGTTTCAGGTTAGGATTCATCATGGAGTGACATCAGTTGAAGAAATATTGGGAACCTGGGAGCAGTGGATAACTGTTTCGTCCTAGTATGGGACTGTTCAGGAGTGTGGACACATGACCCCTCCCCGTCAGGGATCGAACCCAGGACCTTCAGGTTCCGTGGCGAGGACGTTATCAATGAACGACTGGGTCGGGATCCAGTGGTTCACATTTTCTACTTGTTTCAGTACATTATATTGCACTACTTCCTTCGAATGCCGTCGTTAGGTAACTGTCCTCATCTTCGACTTGGTTGACTCCATTGGTCGCGACGACATTGGATGTAGGTCGCGCTGTCTCGTGAACTAATAGAAGTAGGAAATGTGGACGATTGGATTATGACCCAGTGGCTTAATGATGAGGCGCTGGCCGCGGAATTTGAAGGTCCTGGGTTCGATCCCTGGTGAGGTCATGGGTGTGCACCTCTGATGAGTCCCATACTAGGACGAAATAGCCATGGAGTGCTCCCAAGTTCCCAATGTTCCTCTAGCTGATGAATACCAACTTGAAATCAATCAACAAATCTCCACAAACCTAGCAATTGAAATAATCTAGCTCTTACTGATGACTTTGAGGTGATTCCCGAAGTTCCAGTGAGAAGTTGTGACCAGTTGGGCCGACCGAATCGAAGATAAGACCAGTTAGTCAACGACGACAATAGATGTAGGTCGCGCTATATCGTATCAAGATCAACATAAGTTGACACACTATATACAAGGTTATCAATTTAATTCCTCGATGTGGTGATATATTGACTGAATCTCCGAAATAACGTCGTGTTCGATATATATTTGTGAATGTTTGAATAATGATTTTCAGACGACAGAAGTTGATAAGCAAAATAGAAAGTGTATTCTAAGGTCAAATTATTTTTAAGTTGACATCAACTTTTTCTATCTGTTTTATCTCTTCAATCAATTTGGTATCTTACAAATATAATTATGCGTTTTTATCGAAACTTTGAAGTATATTGATTGGTTGTAGATAATTTCAGAAGTTTTAAGGTTGTCTGTTTCAGTTTCATTTGATTTTAAATCATGTTGCTCATTTTTTTTTGCGATAACCACTATATTATTATTATATTGTTATTCTTCCCTTGAGTTCCTAGTGGAACATACGACTTCAGTAGGACGCCTCTATTGGACTCTATTCTCTCTAGTCTTTTGAACCTGGCTTCACGATTGTCCACAAGCTTTCATTTCTTCCTCACGTGATCTCCATGTCACCCTAAGCCAGGACGGCCAACTCATCTTTTCCCCTTTGGATTCCACTCGAGGGACTGGCCTGGCGCGTGATGTCCCCAGTCGGCCTTCTCAGTGTATGCCCAGTCCATCTCTACTTTCCTCCACTGCATATTTGTTGAGTGATAGGTTCCTGGATGGTTCGTTTCCAGAGTTCCTTGTTGCTTATTCTTAATAATCTGGCCATCTGATCTTCAGTATCGGATGAGCGTATACGACAGCTGTTGATGAATGTCTATAGTTTGTTGGAAATGCTTTTCGTGACGCGCTAAGTTTCTGAACCATATGGCAGCACTGACTTAACTGGCATTGGTGTTGAAAATCCGGATCTTGTTCTTTGTGTTGAGTGCAGTAGATCTCCACAGTGATTTCAATTTAATGGAAGCCTATCTTGCTATCTTTCCTATCCTGGTTTTGACGTCCTCGTCTATGCCGCCTATAGTTGAAACGATGCTGCCAATGTGGGTAGGTGAAAGAGACTACTTCTACTATTTCAAAAAATATTCAGCTAAAACTTTAATCCATATTTCTTTACTCAAATTTTTAATATTTCATCAACTCATCCTGGGAATTTCATATTTTAGACAGTGAATTCGAAGTATTTCAGTTTATGAATTTATTATATCATAAAGTCATATTGTCATTTTTGAGGATTTTTGCAAAAATTTCTAGGATTTTTGCCTCACTGTGATTTTTATCTTGGAAAAGCAAATTAATTTCATGATATATGGCTAAGTTTTTTTCGTTTCCACTTGTAAGTCATTGAAATGTACTTCTTCAATAATAGTTGAGTGGACATAAACTATTGGTTCTAAGAAGAGATTTCAAGTTCAGCAGCCAAATCAGTGTACTAACCTAAATAGTGTGACCTGTCAATATCTCTCCATCAGTGAGTGAGTGATTCACTAACTTACGAAGATTGATTAAACCTGAACTCTCCATTCAGAAGGAATATATCTATATGCTACTTCACTCTTGCCATCTTATTCATTATCTTTTCGTTTCACTATCATATCATTCTTCTGTATATTTATCATCTCAATATTGGCTAATTTAAGAAGGATAAATCGATTTCCTTACAATCCCTAATTCTCACTCCATTCTGAAAATGTACCTCCTTCCTAACATGGCTTCTTTTTACTCTGTACAAATAGATTTCATAAAAGTAGAACCTGAAGAGAATACTTATTGAAAAGAATATTCTTCGTTCAGATTGTTGCTTTTCATAGAATTATTATGGTTCGATGAACATTTAAAGTAGAAGAAAAAAACTGAGTCATAACATTAATCAAAACAGAGGTTTCGATGTACATAGCGCAAGTCCAAGCTAATTCATTATTTCAATGTTCACAATCTCATTGGCTGATTTACATCCCTTTCTTAGTATCCCACCCATAAACTCAACACTATTAATGTGAACAATGCAACGAAGACACTGATGGTCGTAAGCTTCTAGTGCCTCATATAATCTGTTTTCAATGACCAAGTCTTACATCTATACAAAAGGACAGAGAGAACTGTCGTATTGTGTTCTCTGAGCTACTTGGGTTGTATAATCCTGGAGCTGTCATCATCCTCCTAGACGACATCATCAACACTAATTTCATTATGAAGTGACCTGTCAATATCTCTCCATCAGTGAGTGAGTGAGTGAGTGAGTGAGTGAGTGAGTGATTCACTAGCTTACCCTGACGAAGTGGTTCGTAATTGGTTGTTTCCTTTGATTGTTGTGTCATTGACTGACTGTATAGATTTTCCTGTTGGCTGTTCCTGTGCTTCACCTCTGAACTTACTGTTGTTTATTATTTTTCTCATTGGTTGATAGATTGGGTCTATCATGTGTATACATCTATTGATTGCTGACTGGTCTGAATTCCACGCCTCTAAGAATTCTCTGGTATTCCTTGTTTTTCTTCTCTCCGTCCAAAATTTCTGGAGTGTCAAAATTGAATTTATGTCTTTAATTGTTATCCACGTGCATTGAAGTGAGTGATGAAATGTTGTGAGTGATGTTGGTGTTTATGTAAGTGACAAAAGCGAAGAGCGTGACCACTTTGTCCAATATAGTGTTGATTAGTTATTGCAGTTGATTTTGTAAGTGATGATATTCGGTTTGCATTCTTTGATTGTTGCATCCTTTGGTCTGTATACCGTAGAAATTTTGGACAGAGAGAGGAAAAACAAGGAATATCAGAGAATTCTTAGAGGCGTGGAATTCAGACCGGTCAGCAATCAATAGATGTATACACATGATAGACCCAATCTATCAACCAATGAGAAAAATAATAAACAACAGTAAGTTCAGAGGTGAAGCACAGGAACAGCCAACAGGAAAATCTATACAGTCAGTCAATGACACAACAATCAAAGGAAACAACCAATTACGAACCACTTCGTCAGGGTAAGCTAGTGAATCACTCACTCACTCACTCACTCACTGATGGAGAGATATTGACAGGTCACTTCATAATGAAATTAGTGTTGATGATGTCGTCTAGGAGGATGATGACAGCTCCAGGATTATACAACCCAAGTAGCTCAGAGAACACAATACGACAGTTCTCTCTGTCCTTTTGTATAGATGTAAGACTTGGTCATTGAAAACAGATTATATGAGGCACTAGAAGCTTACGACCATCAGTGTCTTCGTTGCATTGTTCACATTAATAGTGTTGAGTTTATG